AATTCATCACATCAATAGACTTAAAGACAAGAATCACACGATTATCTCAATACATGCAGAAAAAGCATTTGAGAAAAATCAGCATCCATTCATGCTCAAAAGAGTTGAAAAATAGGAATATTAGAAACATACCTTAATATTGTAAAAGCTATCTATGCTAAACCCAAAGCCAACATCATTCTAATTGGAGAAAAAATGAAAGCATTCGCTCTAAAAACTGAAATAAGACAGGGATGCCCTCTTTTTCTACTCCTATTGAACACAGCTCTTAAAATCCTAGCTAGAGTGATCAGACAGAATAAAGAAATTAAAAGAATATGAAAAGGAAAAGAAGAGCTCAAACTATTCCTATTTGCCAAAGACATGATTCTATATTTAGAAGACCCAAAAAAACTCCACCAAAAGCATCTATAATTCATAAATGAAAGTAGAAGGATTTAACATTAACACCCATAAATCAATTGTGTTCCTACACAACAATGATGAATCAGCTGAAAGAGAAATTAGGAAAACTATCCCATTCACAATAGCCTAAAAAAAAATACTTGGGAGTCAATCTAACCAAAGAGATGGAAATCCTCTACAATGAAAACTATAGAATACCAAAACAAGAAACTGAAGAAGACCTTAGAAGATAGAAAGATCTCCCATGCTCTTGGATAGGTATATCCAATATACCTATTCCATATGTTAAACCAACCTTGATTCCCTGGGATGAACCCCACTTGATCAATATATAATTAACATTGTCAAAATGGCCATGCTACCAAAAGTGCTATTCAGATTTAATGCTATTCTTATTAAAATTTCAATGACGTTCTTCATAGAAATAGAAGAAGCAGTTATGAATTTCATTTGGAAAAATAAGAGGCCCAGAATAGCCAAAACAATCCTTAGTGAGAAAAGTGAAGCAGAGGCATCTCAATACTACACATTAAATTATATAATTATATAATTTAATATAAATTATAATACAGAGCTATAGTAAAAAACAGCATGGTATTGACACAATAGAGGCATGAAGATCAATGGAATACAGTATAAGACATAGAGAAAAACCCACAGAAATACAGGTAAACTGGACAAAGGTGCTATAAATGTACATTAGAGAAAGGACAGCTTTTTTCAACAAATGGTGCTGGGAAAATTGGAAATTCATACAAAGCAGAATGAAATCAAGCCCTTATCTCTCACCGTGTACAAAACTCAACTCAAAGTAGATCAAGAGCCTAGGCAGTAGACCAGAGATCCTGTGCCAGCTGGCAAAAAATGTAGGTCCAGCTCTCCATCAGGTCAGCTTAGGAACCAAATTCCTCAAGAAGACTCCTAAAGCACAAGAAGTAAAATCAAGAATCAATCAATAAATGGGATTGTTCAAAATAAAAAGCTTCTTGTCAGGCTGAGCTTGTGACTCAGTGGTAGAGTTCTTGCCTAGCATGTATGAGGCACTGGGTTTGAACTACATATAAATTAATAAATAAAATAAAGGCTTTCCAACAATATTTAAAAATATATTTTTAAAATTTTTTTTAAAAAAGCTTCTTCTCAGCAAAGGAAACAATTAAGAACATGAAGAGAGAACTTATAGAATGAGAGAAAATCAATGCCACTTGCACCTCTGATAGAGCATTAATCTCCAGGATATTGAAAGAACTCAAAAAACTTAACAGTTAAAAACTAACAAAATCAATAAATGGGCAAAGGAAATGAACAGGCACTTCACAGAAGAAGAAATACTAATGATTAAAAACTATATAAAAATATTCAATATCTCTAGCAATTAGAGAAGTATAAATTAAAACTACAGTGATATTCCATCTCACTCTAGTCATAATGGCAATTATAGAGAATATAAGTAACAATAAATGTTGGCAAGGATGTGGGAAAAAAGTTTCACTCATACGTTGCTGGTCGATGTGCAAATTGGTGCAACCACTCTAGAAAGCAGTATGGAGATTCCTCAGAAAACTGGAATGGACCCATTCCATTTGATTTAGTTATCCCATTCCTCAGTTTATATTCAAAGGACTTAAAATTAGCATACTACAGTGATGCAGCCACATCAATGTTTATGGCAGCTCAACTCACAATAGCTAAACCATAGAACCAACCTAGGAGCCCTTCAACGAATGGATGGATAAG